AAAAACAATCCTACACTGTATGTTAACTAACATGAATTTAAATAAATTTTATAAACAAACAAACAAACAAACACACAAATAAATACCAGGTTGCCTGATTCTTTGGAAGAAGATAGAAATGCCATTTTTATTTTACTGTGAAAGCCTCTATCCAGATTTTTAAATGTTAGCAACCAATTCAACTTTCTAAACAATCAGTGTGTGGGCCAACCAAAATATGTCTGTGGGCTAGATCTGGCTCAGGCCACCTGTTTGCAGCCTCTGACATAGACCCATGCTGATGATTTCTGCCAAACCCTTTTTCCCATAGTTTTGTCCAACACTGGAGGAACTGAAATATATTGCCCCCCAGTTCTTTTTTTATTCCCTTCAGGGTGACAACATGACAATCTATTCCTATAATCAGGAAGAATAAGACTCTTATCACAGCTAGGGGAAAGTGTATATTGATTACCTTGGTAATCACAACCTTCTGCTTTGAACGATAAAATTGGAGAATCCTTTCAAAGATATAAAGAATGCCTGGTGCAAGTATCCACTTCCAAGACTGCACAGAAAAAGAATAAAGTTGAGGTTACACATTAATCTCTTGTTTAGGATTTGTGTAGCAGTAATATTGAATATTACTTCATTCAGTAATATTTATTGAGTTTTCTGATGTGTATCATTATTAAGCCACTAATTTCACCAAAACTTGAGGATGGAAATGGAAAGGAATAAATTGCAATGGTTTCATTTGCTAATCTGTTACTCATAAAGCAGATCATTTCCTGAAGTTTTACAAGTCTCACTGGGAAACATAGAAAAGCACAGAAATAAAATACATTATAATTATATGTATAATTATAATGTATACATATACCTATAATTATACATATACATATATATGTATATATATCTTAAATTATATATAAATTTTAATTTTAAGACTCCAAGACAGTATTCCAGGACAATTTGTCCAATCTGAAAAAAACAACAAAGTAGATGCAACATGGAAGCAGATTATTACAAACAAAACAACTAACAAAAAAAGGAAAGTGAGTGACTGACACTATTGGTAACAGTATATAAAACTTGGTATTTATCCATCACCTCTTTTTTCAGGTTTTCAAAACACCTAACATAGTAATATACTTTTTATCTTGTCTACGTTTTTTTAAAGTAGCCTTTCTATCCCTGAGATCCTCTCAAAGGTAGCAGGTTGCCCCCATATGTACATGAGCTGCTAAAAACATATTTCCTAGCAATGCTAAGTCATGTCCTTTCTTGCACAACTTCTTCAGCACGATACATCAGAACTATGTGGAATGAGGTTTCTTACGCTGTTTCAGGCAAACAACTTCCTTAGGTATTTCTAGGAAGGAAAGGGGCAGAGATGGGGCTGGTGAACTTGAAAGTGGGTATTACACAATTTGATATTATTCCTTATTTGGAAAAGATTCCCCATGTCTTCAAAGGAAACACAAAAAAATATATTTAAGAAATGGCTGATAACAATATGGAAAAAATTGACCTCAGAAGTAATCAGAGAAATGAATATTAAACCAAAATAGCATTTTAGAGAGACTGGGTGGCTCAGTCAATTGAGCCTTTGACTCTTGATGTCATCTCAGGTCATGATCCCAGGGCTGTGGTAATAAGCACTGAGTGTGCAGCCTGCTTAAGGTTCTCTCTCTCTCTCTCTCTCTCTCTCTCCCCCCCCCTTTCCTGCTCACATGTGCTCTCTATATATAAAATTTTAAAAATAGTATTTTAGCCTCTAAGATTGGGAAAAACAACTTTAAACCATAATGCCTACCATTAACTGGGATGTAGGGAAATGGGCACGTTCACATGTGCAGGTAATGGAGGACAAATTAGTAGTATCTTCCCAGAAAGCAAAGTGGCACTACATCCCAACAGCCTTAAAAGCATTCCTTCTCTTTGACCCAGAAATTTCACTTCTGGGAAATGAAGCATAAAGATATAATTAAGGTGTATACTAAGTATATGAGCATAGCAATGGCCATATTATTTACTAAGAAAAAAATGACAAAAATGGCATATCACAGAGATTTCTTTTGCCAATACCAAATTCACTTTTTTAAGTTTTTATTTACTGTTTTGTATTGAGACATAATTGACATGTCATTATATAAGTTTCAATTGTACACCATAATGATTCAATATTTATATATACTGCAAAATTATGACAATAAGTCTAGTTAATATCCATCACCATACATCGCTGCAAAATAATTTTTTCTTGTGCTAGGAAGTTTTAACATCTACTCTCCTAACAACTTTCAAATATGCGATACAGTATTATTAACTATAGTCACCATGCTATACCTGACATACCCATGACTGGAAGTTTGTACCTTTTGACCACCTTCACCCATTTTGCCCACCACCCACCTCCTGCCTCTGGCACTCACCAATCTGTTCTCTGTATTTATGAGCTAGGTTTATTAAAGTACAATTCCACATATAAGTGAGATCATACAGTATTTGTCTTTTTCTGTCTGACTTATTTTACTTTGCATAATGCCCTCAAGATCATTAAAAATGATCATGTAAAAAATTTGACAAAAATGGTATACCATACAGCTTTTTTTAAATTTTTTTTTTCAACGTTTTTTATTTATTTTTGG